GAAGAAAACTTAAGAAACTTTACTCGAATGTCACAAGAGGATTTTGATTTTCTCCTTAATAGTATCACATAAAATGGGTAGAAAGGATACTGTTTTCAGAAAAGCAATATTTATAGAAAAACACCTAGCTCTGACTCTCAGATTTCTGACTACTAGTGATTCATCCAGTTTGCACTACCTATTAAAAATTTTTGAAACAAGCGATTGTATAATTTGTGAAGCATGTCAAACCATAGTAGACGGTCTGAGGGATTATGTAGGCCAGCTGTGTTAGTTTTTTTTATTTTCGCTAGTTACCTCCGGCATAAACCTTGTGGTTTTCCTCTTCCACTGACACTGACAATCCTGTTTTGTTATTTTCATTAGAGCGAAGATTTGGTCTCATGCAAGTTGTTGAAATAAAATTTATGTTTTGAATTCCAGTTGAAATCTTCGGAAATGGTCGATGAGCTGCGTGCTCACAACAAGGTATCAACAACTCTCGGCTCGGGCTGAGCGGTGCGGAACCGTTCGGCTCGTCCCGTACTTATCTGAGCAAAAAATAGGGCGAAGAAATGCTCGAATGCTCAAGTGTGTACGCAGCTGAAGTGTTTTATTTACTTGGTGTCATGTTGATTTACCTATACGAAAAATATACAATAGATTTTGTATATTTTGTTACATCTGCTTTTTCAAAATTTCTGACACATTTTCTTCAAATGTACAATATTTTACTTATAAAGTATTTACTTCAAATGTACAAAAAATCTTATATTTTATGGAACGCACGTTGTTTTAACAAAGATTAACATAAGACGGGTTCTTGTAACCTTCAGATAAGATCAGTGATGTCTGTCTAAGAAATGAACAAGGAAAATCCCCTAAAAACACGGTTACTGATGTGAAAAAATTAACACAAGCGGTTGTTACGTACTAGATATGAAGATAAAACATTTAACATCACCTTATATCCATGTGCAGTTTAAATCAATTCATGAAAAATGCGTTGTTTCCTTTTAATCCAATAATTAAGTTCTGCAAACAGAACGTGACACCTGTTTATTGATATAGTCACCTCGAGTTTATCATATAAAGCGTATTGTATGATATTTTTATTTCATCTGTAATATCCGAGTGCAAATCCCCTAGTTCCACCCCTGACCTACTTATAATAAACAATTAGCAAATCTCTCACACCTATTTTCCTATGTAGTCTCATGGGATTAACACATTTTACATCTAAGTAATAGCATTTCTAATGCTTCTGGAAAGAAAGGTTGTTCGACCCTTGTAAAGTACTGATTGACAGTCGGTAATCATTTAGGGATAAATCTGTAAAATATTATGGATGCTCAACTTCGAATCCTGCATCAGCGATTGCAGTTGTTGTAATTTCATACCTGTGGCTGTGTGCGTGATTCTGGTCCAAGGAAACAGCTTTGTGCAACTCCACCTATGTTTTTCTGTTATAGTATTATGTAATTTTTGAATTACATTGGCATAATATGTACATAGAATTGTTAGCATGTCCTTCCCTGCTGAAGGTTGCATCTTGAATTTTGCGGCGATGGTAAATATCGACGTGTAAATTTCTTTACGAGTTTGCTTGTGTGAATCTATTCACATTCGCGTTACCCTTATTGCAGACAATTTTTTCATATTCACTTCAGCAGTGTATATTATATACCACAATTATAAGAGAGCAGGATCTTCACTTATTTGTCTAATAGTCACACGCCGATGTTGGAGTATTAGGTCAGGGATCCTTTTAACATTTTTTTGTATATGAGCGGTGGTGGGCGCTTCACCTACATATTCGTGGGCATACATGTGAGCCACATAGTGCCTCCTCCAACATGTATGCAATTGGGTATATATGCATTTCTAAGTTGTAAATCAATTTCAGGTCAGATCTAAGTCTTAGCTCCGCACATCCACACGCAACGTGTTAACCACCGCTCTTTGCCCGACTTTAAATCCATATTGGTATTGTAATAGCTGAATTCGGACATCGGCTTTAATAGGTTAGGACTTTTCTAGCGTGGGTCTACATGTAGCTTTAATAGGTTCGGACTTTTCTAGTGTGGGTCTACATGTAACAAGTTAAAATTCAACATGGATATAAAAAACTATTTTGATTTAGAAGTGGGTTATTCGTATATTCTCACCACAATGAAGAACATAACAGTGATTTTCTTACATATGCTATTTATCTCTCTATTTCTATGTTATTAAAGCCATGTTTATGTATTTATGAATAGTAAAATATGAATAAATATTTATTTTCGATAATTTTTAAATAAAAATATACTCACCGGTAAAATTAACGGAACACCTTAAAAATGGGACATGTTAGATGACTCGAATTTCCTAAACCTGTTGTCCGATTTTAGTGATTTTTTTAGTATGTTATAGGTATATTATTTAAGAATATCAATGAAATAATATTGTTGCTAGACAGGTCAACGTCATTTTATACCGGGTGTAACAATCATACTGTGTTTTTTCCTTAAAGTTCGAAACACTCTGTGGAATAGTCTAGCATATATAAAATATTGAAATTAAAGCTCAATTATAGTCTCAGGCTTTCTTAACATTTTCTTTTTTGATTCAGTTGCTTGTGTTGGATAATAAAAAAGTTAGGTACGTTAACAACTAGCCATGTTTTTCATCAATAAATGCTCATTTTCTTCTTAGTTTCACCAGAATATTTAAAGGAACAACCATAAAATCTGAGTATTTTCTCTCTAGTCTATATACTGTTTAGATAATATCATAATACGAATGTTGGTGAAGTATTTTGAATTTATATTATAATGGTAGTACAATATAAAACCTGTTTAAGAAGAAATAAAACACAAAGATGTCAGACTCAACAAAATACGGATTTTAAATGCATTAACTTTATTGTACAGTTTGAACTTAAATTGTTTTTTTATGCATTTTTTTGGCTTTAATAGCGTGTGTTTCCCCTACGAGCCCTTACAACTGCAGTTATTCGTCTTCTCATACTTCTGATAACGCTATCGATCAGTTGTTGGGCAGCCTCTCCCATTCCTCAATCTTTTGAAATTGTGACTTCTTCTCTGTTTTGAATAGCAGGAACCCGTGCCCTAAGTTTTCTGCCTAGCATGTCCCACATATCCTCTATCGGGTTTAGGTCTGGGCAACAAGCTGGCCAATTCATCGTTGTTATACCCACTTGTAATAAGAAATATCTTACACTTACACTCTTACACTATAAAATAAAATTTTCGCCAATATATGGTGAAAAAGGTACCACATGGTCTTGGAGAATATCTCTGATATACTTATCTGCTGTTAATGCTCCACCATCAATCACCACTAACTCTGTTATTGCTCCCAAACATATACCGCCCCACACCATAATTGAACCTCCACCAAAAGGTACGGTCGTAGTAAAATTGAAAGAGGCATTTCGTTCTCCTTGGCGTTAATACAATCTTTCTCTACCGTCGATGTAATTTACACAGAAACGGCTCTTGTCCGTAAAGAGAATTTGACTCCAGTGGTTATCATTCCAATTTTGATGTACTCGACCAAATTGTAGTCGTGCTAAACGATGGTGTCTCTGGAGTCTGGGAGCTTTTATTGGCACATATGACTTGAGACCGGCTTCTTTAAGTCTCTTTCTTATTGTGCGCTCAATTAAATACAAGTTTGTACTTGTTATGAACAGACAGAATGACTGTAAAATGTAAAACACAATACAAATAAACAAATTAATTTGACATTTTGACATTTAAGACTTTCTTGTGACAAGGAGCTTTCAAAGCTATGTAGATATAGTCTATAAAATACAAATATAAAGAAATATTGCATTAATAACAGGTTTCTTTAAATTTGCCGGTGTGTACATTAAATTGTTAACTTCTCATAGCCTACTTTAGGCTTGTTTTTAAACTAAGCAGAAAATGAGGATTTATTGATGAAAAAATGGCTAATTGTTAACGTACCTAACTTTTTTATTATCAAACATAAGCAAATGAATCAAAAAAGAAAATGTTAAGAAAGCCTGAGGCTATAATTAAGTTTTAATTTCAATATTTTATATATGCTAAAATATTCCACAGGGTGTTCCGAACTTTAAGGAAAAAACACAGTATGATTGTTACACCCGGTATAAAATGACATTGACCTGTCTAGCAACAATATTATTACATCGATATTCTTAAATAATATACCTATAACATACTAAAAAAATCACTAAAATCGGACAACAGGTTTAGGAAATTCGAGACATCTAACATGTCCCAATTTTAAGGTGTTCCGTTAATTTTGTCGGTGAGTTTATTTGGTGGAATGAATTTGCTGCTGCTATAAAAACTATGTAGCAACAACTGAAATTTATGAAATAATGTCGTAAAAGACCTCACCAATCAATTTTTAAATTATTATATTTATTATTATTGGATTGCTCGCTACTACAAAAAGTTAATACAATATCAAGGTTTTCTCAAACTTCCGAAGCTTTCGCGTTAATAATTATTGGTAGAAGTGGGAGTTGTCAGTACACAGTATTACCTAGATGAACAGAGAAATATGAAGATGACAACACACAAGCGAGCAAGATAAAGTATAAATGAATATACTTATGCATAACTCTAGAAACAGCTGATAAGTTTCGGCGTGAAATAATGATAAGGCATGGAACTCTGATTACGACTACCAAACAAAAATACTATCAGATGCTTTATTTGAATGTCTCTGTTCTAAATTCTGGTCTGAGAAATAAATAAACTTTGTGCTTTCGTTGGTCGTAACCAACACACCCGAATTGTAGAATAAATTAACGAGATAAGATGGTGGAACCTTTTATTTTCTGTAGTATTTTAATCTTACAAATTAGATTTAGTGGCTCTTTTAAAAATGTGATTGTATTTTAGATATTAACTTCTTATGCGCTTGTACATTTAGTCACATCGATTTTAATTTTATTTTACTGCTTATATCATTTGAACAAAGTAAACATTTTTTAATGAACTTTTCTTTTATTACAGGAATTGCCTTCGTCGCATAGCTAGACACGACGACACAGAATTTTCTAACCAAAGCATCCTTAACGTCATGGAGAAATTTGTTAAGACCGTCAACAAAATGGATGAAACCATTTTAGTGCCTTGTCGTTTGATGGACTTAAAAGTCGGAGATGAGCAAGACCCAGCTTGTCAAAATTCAAAGACCAAATCATCCCACTCTGTACACCAAATTCTAAGTTCTACTGACCTGTTTGAGATCTACAATATGTTGAACGGGGTAAAGGACTCGCTGTTATGGGGAGGAGCTCAAGAGCCTCCAAAGAATCCTCCACCACCTACTACTGCCGTTGTAACATCAGTAACTACTCCAATTATCAAGGGCCACATCCGTAGACCCTCTTCAGTGAGTGTGACTTCCACAAATTCGTCATCTACTCTAAGCGATACTGATTCTGAGTCTGGCAGCAATGAAATCGATTCTGGAATTGATGAGACATCCCAAGAGGAAGGAAAAGCCGAAAGAATCGCTCAAGATTTTAAAAGACACTTACATGGACTCACCAGTACGCTACGTCACATGACAGAAGCTGCTCAGTACCTGACCTGGCGTTACCAGTACGACATTGGTGGCCCCGTTTAACAAATCTATTTTTTAGGTCAATGGACTGATGTTTTATATTAATTATAGTTAATTTTTGGATACAGGGCGACTCAGCAGTTTGTGGGCGGCCAGTTCATATTTGACACAAATTACTAAAAACACTACTCACACGATGTTAAAGTCGTGATTGTATGAAAATGAATGACCAAATATAAGTGAAAATAGTTTTTAGGTATTTGTCGTATGCTTTTTTTAAATCTTTATTATTTATTAGTTTGTTTACGATTATTAATTAAAATTCTTTTTATGCGATTAAATTATGTGTAGGAGAAATGTGCACAAAATGACATATTGCTAATAGACAAAATGACATACATATATAGCTACAATATTATTGGAATAATTCGCAAATTAAAAGCTTAGTTCTTATTGGAACATCAGTTCAAGGAGGGTGAGCCTAAAGCGAACATTGTAAGCACCGCAAGCAATTAAAATCTTGTTCCTCATCGTTTTCTTAAAATAATTTTTTGGTGGCTTTGCGTTTTCCCTTTGTTGGGGGAGCTATGGGCTGAATTTTAGATTTTATTTTCAACATATTAGGAGTACAAGTCAACACCAACAAGCTCTGGTTTACGTTTTCCTTGCCACCATTAAACGTGCTTTTGCCATCGGAGAAAGCAGCTCAATAGGAACAGCAAGATCAAAAAACGATGGACGTTCATTGGTAGCAGCAGCAGTTACAGAAACTTAAATACGGTGTGGTCTATAGCCAACAGATTCTAACAAGCTTCCGTACAACTGATAAAACTTTGGACTTGAGGCCGATTAAAAGCTTAAGCACGGGCTACTGATGTGGCTTCTGGTTTGCGCAAAAATATATTTCTGTTACTTCTTTGAAATCTTTTATGCCTTTTGATTTTAGATGTTAAATTTATCAGCGAAATTGTTTTTCTTAGCCATCTTACAGGCTATTTTTCTACCTATGCTCGTGTCAGTCCTAACAAACGACTTTGAAGGAATTTTATATGATCAACTAATTGCCTTTTCAATCAGATGAAAAGGAAGTTTTTCCTCAAAGCAAGGCATTTTAAATTTGACTCCAAAGGGTGCTTTTTCTATAAATAAGTTACTTAATTTGAAGATAAATGTTTGAGCAATGAAACAAATGCTACATAAATAGATGCAGTAGCAAAAAACTTCCCATTTGAACAAAAACTTTGTCAGTATGAAAGAAAATCGTTACGTGTGAATATCTATCATTGGCCATGACACCAAGACGAATGAAATGGGTGCGTTCAAAATTTGAAAGTTTATAGAGTACCGTTATGACCGCGTGGTGTAACTGTTAGTTTCGTGTCAAGTCCGCCAGATTCACAATAACGCGCCTATTTCATTTTGTACAAATATGTCATTTTGCACATATTTCCCCTATTAATTATTGTCTTGTAAGACGTAATGCGTTAGAAAGACATTTAAAGCCTTGGTATTGCAAACTTATAAAATGTTACATTATATTAAAGATAATATCTTTTGAAGTAGCAATAAACAAGTATAGTAACAATCTAGATTGTTTAAAAAGAGACAGAGCAAACACTAGAACATACATTTTCACAAAATGATACTGTGTATCAGTTTATTCCAATAGGTTTAGATTAATTTCTATTATGAAATAGTGTACTCAATTCTACATTAAAATTTTTGCCGGTTTAATTTTTCTTAAAAAAAATAGTTTCTTTGTTTCTGAACATTTTTAAATGTATAACATATTTAAATATGCAGATTACGAAACAATAATTTTGGAGTAGAAGCATTTTGCCCAGTGTAATATACTTTGAATACACTACTTCTTCATTTGTGACGTGATCTATTTATGAAATTTCAAGAATTGTCCATTAGGTGGGCATTTCAAATTATCTTTAAAATTTTAAGATCTTAATTTCACCAAAACATAGGATTATAGGCGTCATATAGAACATCCTATGTCTTATGTTAAATCTAGTAACTAAGCTTTGTTCGGTAAATTGTTTCACTCTTGAAGTGTATAAAGGAATGTTTGTGTAACATTTTGTAACCTTTGTCAAATATGTACCACAAATGTTTACAATTAAACCCGACTAAATATAGTGAAATAAATTAATTTTAATTAATGTTGTTCTTCTACTCCTCTATAAAAATAATTGTTAAAATAGCTTATAAAAATAATCTTGTTTAATTTCTCGAAATATAAATTTTAATTTTCGTATAAGGTTCAGACTTACAGTATTAGTTATATTATAATTTACAGGAATTTTTCAATTTCTTTTGTAATATCTACACATACAACAAAAAGTATCTTATGTTAAGATTCATAAATTAAGAAGTTATTGTTGCTTTAACTTTATGAAATTTTGATATTTTTTGCTGTATTGTCATTATTAAATATTTATTTAAGTTATTCTTTATTGATAAATATTCATTCAAATAATTTGTGTCAAATATACTGGTGAAAAAGGCAGAAAGTGCAGTTACTCTGTGTATAATTTGGAAAAGTGATAATATTTATATACTAGATTTATCTATTTTTGCTCATAAATTTATGAATCTATTTATTTTTAAATATTTAGTATTATTGTTTATTTTACCTCTGTATTGTTTTAATTTATAATAAATATTATTGAGGTTTATAATTGTTGTCTCGGATACATTACTTACCCGATCATCCATATCCTAGTACAATTTTGTTAAATTTTAAACTACTTCTCCTTATGATGAACAAACCTGAGTACAAATAACAAATAGTAAATAATAGTAATGTATAGTTAACATACATTTTCAAACTACAGTGTCACCCTACATAAAGGTAATATTTATTGTATTTTGCACCAGAATGAGAGTCATGAAGAAGTTCGGTTCTGCATTAAAAGCATTCTAAGTGGGTTCCGAATATTTTTAAATATTAACGAGTTTAATATAAGTTATAAATTGTGAATTTCAGATATATATTTACATAAGTTGTAAGTGTACAAACTCTTTACATAATATCTAGTTAAACTAATGTAAAGTCAACTAGATTGCAATCATTTGTTATTGTTGTCAATAAACCAATCCAAATTTATCAGCAAAATAACCACTTTTAGTAAAGGCCCATAATATACTTTTAGCAGATGTACTGGGTCATATTTACTTTTCACATAATATTATCAAAATGGAGTCGAACAAAAGTTCTACAACTCTAAAACATCAAAGTCAAATAAACTCATCACAAACATATTTTCAGAAGGGTCGAAATTGCAATTTCCCTCCCAAGAACATATTATTTTCAGTGTCTTGAAAACGCCAATCTTCAAGACTACCTTCTCCCACTGCGGAATAAAATTCAACCGAGAAATATAATATTTTCTTTTAGATTATATAATAATCGCATATGTATGTAGTCATCAAATAAACGTGATTATATGAATAATTATTATGGTCAAATAGAAATACAAGATGAAATTATTAGAGCAAGAAGGTTAGGTACAACAGCGAAACGATTTGTTCTATCCAACGTATGTCCTACAAATCTGCACATCTTACTGATCAAATTCTAGCTTCAATTTAAAAAAATGTGGCACTACTCTTTGTCTTAACTCACTACTACCTACCCACAATACAAGAAACAATGGATGCTGTTAAAGAACTGTAGAATGATAAACACCCAGACAAGTATTAATAATATACCAACGAAAAATTCTCAAAATTGAAGGAAAGACATAGATTTCTGTAAGACAGAAAAAATGCCAGGAGGCTGGAACGGCTGCAAAAACTACAGAGGCATATCCTTACTCCTTCACAGAGCAAATCATAGAAGAATATCAGGACGGTTTACTATTGACCAGTTACTCAACAAATAGGATTTGGTTGGTGTACCAATGAAATCTGTAAAATTAGTTCTAGCGCAAGTGCGAGTACAAAATCAACTGACAGACTACTTCCAGACAACTAAAATAGGGAAATCCGACTCAGAATTTGTTTAATGTAAGTGTGGAATAATAAGAAAAATACCTGTAGGTAAACACAAAAAATATATTATTTAATGTTAGACACATTTTAGATTAAAATTTTTTGTTTGGTGGTAAACCAAACTGGAGTTCGGGTATTAGGTACTTGTTGGTTTATAAGAATGTGAAAGGCGGTATACATTGGCACAATAGACCCAGGAGAAATGCTTAAACTCAATTTGCTAGCTTTAATTAAGTTTATAGGATTTCTTTATAGAGTTTAACGAAGACAAATTTTAGTACAGGGGTTTCACCATAAGGTGGTAGACAAGCTGTCTCTCAACTCGTTAAACTATACGTGGTAATTTACTAGTATTTCACATTCAATATAAAAGTTATTAACACAAAGAAGCAATTAAATGATAGGTATAAAAGCAGTTTGGACAACATTAGTTGTCCAAACTGCTTTTGTAGTACATATCAATTGGTCCATTTTCATTTTGATAAGTAAGTATTCATGATTTAAGGATATTTGATCTTAAGAATTTAAAAAATATAATAATAAAATCAATTATTTACAATCCTTATATTTTATAAAAACAGTATTTTAATATTTAGTTACTTAATTTGATAATGTATTCATACATAAATATGTTCTTTTCAAAATGAAAATATCTCAATAGAGCATTTATGCCTGGTTGCACCAACATATCTTAAGCTTAAGACGTGCCTTAGGTAGGCCTCAGCTCAGACTGATCGACCGACCACGACCAACCGTCCGACGGCGATCAACCAAATTTTGTATTTTTATTTTTAAGAATATAAAGAATATTTTAGAATCGAAAATTATGGTGCAACGTAAGTGAGAGTTAAGGCAGCCCTAGCTATAAGCAGAGTTTGGCTAAGCTTGAGCTTAAGATCTATTGGTGCAAGGTACAACCAGGCATTAGTGTTTAATATTATTAAAGCGAACCTTCTCTAGTGGCATTGTATTTTTTTTTCTCTACAGTAAAATGCTGAGGCGAGCGTTACGGAACTAGCCCCACAAGATAACGTCATCACGGGTAGCGTCATAAAATAGCGGTTTTTGGAATCGATTCACTACTCTCAAGCAATTCGTTTCTAGTCATCATATATTTACTCTAGGCAGGTTTAAATTAAAAACTGCATGAAAAATAACTAACAAAATTTAAACATTAAATGATGAGTAAAAAATTTAAAAAATATCTGTCACTAGAAGATTTGATTCGTAACGCTTGTCAAAATACTCAAAATTTAATAAAAGTCATAAATGTCATCCGTTTAATAAGAACTTCGAATCATCTGTTTAAATTTTTATAATTCTCATTTTAAAATAATTATATAAATACATTTATTATTTTGAAACATGTTTAGTTTATATAACAATTAAATTTGCTATCAAAAATGATAATTATTTATATTTTATAATTAACATCTATGCCACAAACCATACATACTCATGAGTATGTATGGTTTGTGGTCTATGCTTTTAGCACAGAATAAATAACTTGTTTATTATTCTGTGCTTTTAGTATTCAATGAGATTTATTGATGAGATTATTATTAAATGAGATTTATCTTGAGATTCCTGAATCTCATAACACACTCATAATAATGGAAACATGTCATGGAATCTCCTGACATTCCATGTCAAATGTCAAACAATACAATACCAAAGAAATACAGGCGCATGCGTCTATAAGTAATAAGTCATTCATTCATATTCTTTGATCATAATCTTTGATTTAATATTGCCAAAATCAAAACAAACGTTTTTTGCTGGTTTAACTACAAGATTTTTTTGGATGTAACAAAACACGAAAAAACTATACAACAAGTATTTAGGGGTTTTCTTGATTCTCTCTGGATGTTTTTTTTTTCAGTTACAGATATGAATATAATATTTTCCTGATCAATTATGCTAAGACAAAAATATGAAAGATTTTAATATTGTTAGGGAAGGTTCGGGAATATTTTGGAACTAAATAGTTTATACCACAGAGATGTGTACAATATCAGATATTCACAGCATCAAACTTGACTATTTTGAATAAAACAGGTAAATAAGAAAAATTCAAACAACAATGTAAATTATTGTTAAACTGTACTTTCCTATCATATTCAATATTTTCTATTAAGTTTATCTATTTATATAAAAATCACGAATTGGAAAATTCAATCTGAGCTACAAATCCTGTTACTACCTGTATACTACTAAATAGAAAGTGTATTTCAACTACAACTCAAAAAAGTGTAGTTTATAAATTTGAATAAGTAGGTATATTTTTGCTTTTGCCTACAACTTGAGATAAAATTGTAGTTGAGGATCAAAAATTATAACAGGCCAGAGCCTGCTGTCATTTTCGAAAATGTATAGATTCTAAAGTAAATAAAAAGTAAATAATGATTCAATTTCAGAGGAATTCGACTAGCTGTACTAAAATAAGTAATTGCTGAAGTATTATTCACTTTAGAATCATATCAAGACATAGGATAAAACATAATGGTTTTTATGCTAGGTAGAGCTAAAGAGCCTCAGGAAATTGATGATGATGATATAAATAAGCAATATGGAAAAGTTGTTTGTAAATTTTAAAGTTCTTTTCTGTTTTAGATAACTATGGAACTAATCTTTAAGCCTACAATCACCATTTTCCTTATGCCATTCTGAATGTGTTTAAGAGAATTCATCTTTTGATAGCCAGGTAAAAAATCTGAAAGGTATGCAAATATTCACTCAAAATACAGCAAAACAAAAAATTTGTCAAATTATTTATTTATTCCATGGGACACTTACACATATCACAAAAATAATATTTTTATAAAAAAATATTTAAGTACAAAAAAATTGATTATATGATTATTGAAAAGTGTGTACAAAATATACAAAGAAATATTGTAGTAGATCTTAATGACAAAAACAGTTAAACTCCAGAAAAACCATACCATATAAAAAAGGCATGCTCCAAGTATTTGTACTCAATATCAAGGATGGAGAGCGAAATGTATTTTAAGGATTGGTCATGAAGATATATTTACAATTTTTCAAAGATATTGGAAACCACCAAATTAATTTCAATAATGGGACTTTGTCCAAAATAATATAATTAATAAAAAGCCTTTCCTATGATTGAAAATGTTTGTAATTTAAAACATACCACCACTAGCAACACCAGGGTGATAGTTGTATAGCATGTTATAGCTCTTCAATTTACTTTTGAAAATATAGAATGTTGCATTAAAAATATTTTATGATTGCCTTCCCATTACTATAGATCTGGTACAAATAGGCAGTACTTATTTCTGCTTTTTTTAATATCACCATATTTTATTGATTGTATTTAAATTTTGGTGAAAAGAGAAATGAGGGACATGCTTCTAAAGCACACAAAAAATTTTGTAACAAAATCTATAATAGAGTTTTTTTGTCCAAGAAACAACTAATACAAGATATGTTTCTTTCATTCTACTTCAGAAAATAGGAAAATCCTCTAGAAGATTCCTGTAATAATCCCATAAAAATAAAAGATTTAGTAAACAGTGAAAAACAAAAAGATATTGCAATTGCCACAGAATCAATCAAAGAGCACACTTGTGCAGATTACTGTTACTTTTGCCTTCAAATTCAACAAACAATGAACTCTTACACAAGAAAACTCTGCAATATACATCTGACCTTGATAT